TTATAGTACTACAATACCAACTGGTGGATGCTTTGTTTATGTATTTATTATATGCATATATAGTGTGTATATATAGTGTGTATAGTGTGCGTCACATGTATGTGGGTGCACATGTACTTTTGTGTGTGTGTGTGTGTGTGTGTATTAGTCAGGGTTCTCTAGAGTCATGGAATGTCTTTCTATATTGAGGGGATTTACTATGATGACTGACAGTCTGTAGTCCAACTCCCCAACAATGGGCAGCTGTGGATGGGAAGCCCAAGAATCTAGTAGTTGCCAGTCCACAAGGCTAGTTGTTTCAGCTGGTCTTCTGTAGAAGTAGGTTCCAACAGATGTGCTGGCAAGTAAGTGCAAGCGTCAAAGAAGAGCGAATCTTCCTTCTTCCAATGTCCTTATGTAGGTCTCCAGCAGAAGGTGTGGTCCAGATTAAAGGTGTGTACCTGGATCTGGGACTTGTTTTGTCCCAGGCTGACCTTGAACTCAGAGATCTTCTTGCCTTAGTCTCCCAGGATTAAAAGTGTGTACTATCTTGCCTGGGCCTAAGCTTTTCATAACCACTATGCCTCAAGATCTCCAAGCCAAGATCCAGGTCAGAAACTTGTGTCTTCCAGCCTCAAGATCTGGATCACAGGTGAGCCCTCCAATTCTGGATTGTAGTTCATTCCAGATGTAGTCAAGTTGACAACTGGGAATAGCCATTGTAGTGTGTATGTACCAGGTATTTGTCCTCTATCATCCTACCTCATGTTTTGAGACAGAAGCTGTCACTGAGCCCAGAGTCCATTGATTAACTAGACCGGCCAGCTCTGGTTCTCCACCTGTATCCATCTGTCCCTATCTCCCCATACCTAGATTTTGACATGGGTTCTGGGGATGCAAACTGTGGTCCCCATTCTTGTGTAGCAGGCTCTTTACTGACTGAGCCATCTCCTCAGCCACTGGTTGTTCATTTTCCACACATAATCTGAGACGCCCAGTGGGTTGAGCAACAGATAGAGACGTACCAGGGATGCATAAATACATTACAGACATAAAAGGTCCCAAAGAAAAATTCAGAAAAGGGAACATTGGAGATAAAAAGAGGGGCTACCACAGTGATGACAACATTCTCAGGAGATCAAGGCTTGGTTACATGTATTTCCGATATCAGTAATTTTCCTCAGTTAAGAAAAGAATAGCATCAGGCCTGAGCGAGTTAAGAGTGAATTTGCATCTGAAGATGAGAAACATCTTTGTTAACAAGGAGGGAGCAACATGCACACATCATTTCTCAGGAGCCTGGGAAGAGGCAAGCCTGACAGCTCAGGACCCATAGACCCCTGGAAGCCCAGCAGCTGTTCAGTGCAGCTGGCAGCCATCACCATGGCAACAACCCCTCCCAGGAGAGCTGCTTAGTCTATGGGAAAAAAAAACCATCACTTAAAAATTAACACAGATGATCCCATACTGGATCCTGCCTGACAAAAGCCATTTTTATAGCAATGCCCTTTCTAAGGACATAATTGGAACAAATGAGCAAATCTGACTAGAGATTGTGAATTAGATGGGTGGTTCTCAAACTTCAGCGTGTTTCAGACTCACCTGGCGAGCTTGTCAAAACACAGATGGCTGAACCCCACCCCCACAACGTCTGATTCAGCATCGCTGGGCTTTAGGCCAGCATTCTGCATTTCTACCAAGTTACCAAGAGAAGCCGCTGCTGCAGATGTCAGATTACGCTTGAGAATTGGTGGCCTACATACTCACATTGTTCTGGTGCTGATTTCCTGACTTTTTATCACTTCACTGTGGTTAGGAAAGAGACGGTCCTTGATCTTAGAGGATACAGTAGTTGTTTGAGACCAGGGAGAATCTGACCTGGAACTTTGCGTTAGCTTTCTGTTACTGTGACAAAATGCCTGAGAAAATCGACTTAAAAGTAGGAAAGATTTGTTTTAACTCACGGTTTCAGAGGTTCCAGTCAATAGTCAGCTGCCTCTATTGCTTTGGGGGCTGTGGTGAGTCAGATCATTCTGGTGGGAAGCATATGGCTGAGAGAAGTTCCTCAGACGCTGAGGAAGGTAGGAAGCTGGGGAGGGCGAGGTGAGGAGGAGGCCAGCACTCCGATGCCACCCTCAAAGGAATGACCAGAGTCCTAAGGCCCCACTTTCTAGAGTTTCCACCACTTTCCAATAAGTAAGCTGGTACTTAGGCCTCTGTAGCATGTGGGCCTTTGAAAGACATTCATGTAGCTCAAGATGCAAACTACAACACGTTTGTTCTTGAGATGTTCAGGAAAAGGCTAGATAGAGTATAGAAATGGAAAAGGAAATAGCAAAGGAAACGTGGGATGTGGCTAGCAATAAACCTGGGAAGTCTATGGGAAAGAGATGGAGGAGAGCACTGTCCTAGTCTTACAAGCTGTCTGGAAGCTCAAAATTACAGTAAAATGTAAAAAAATAAAAAAAATAAAAATTAAACTGGGAAGAGAAAGTTAGAGCAGTTCCTTAATTTCACTAACTGAACTTAAGAGAAAAACGCCATGGAGAGTAGAGAGGACAGCAGCAGAAGGCAGGGGTACAGGCCAGCTCACTTTCCCAGCGCCCCCTACTGAGCAATGCTGACCTCCATTTAAAATGGTTTAAGCTAAGGAAAGCATCTTTAAGAATGTGGAAACAAAGTGTGGGACAGAAACTGAAGAAGGGGGTCGTCTGGAGACTGTTTCACCTGGGTATCCATCCCATGTGCAGTCACCAAAGGCAGACGCTGATGTGGATGTCAGGAAGTGCATGCTGACAGGAGCCTGATATAGCTGTCTCCTTATAGGTCTGCCAGAGCCTGACATGTACAGAGGTGGATGTTCACAGCTAATCATTGAACTAATCATGGGGTTCCCAAGTTAGAGAGAAGACTGAAGGAGCTGAAAGGGTTTGCGGCCCCATGGGAAGAGCAACAATACCAACCAACCAGAGCTACCAGGGTCTAAACCACCAGCCTTGGAGCACATAGGGAGGGACTCATGACTCCAGATGGCCTTGTTGGGCATAGGTGGGAGAGGAGATCCTTGAACCCATGAAGGCTGGATGCCCCAGTGTGGGGGAATTTGAGGGTGGAGAGGCAGGAGTGGGTGGATGGTTAGGGGCACATCCTCATAGAAGCAGGAGGAGGGGGGATGGGATAGGGGGTTCCTGGGTGGTGGTGGGGAAATGGGGAAAGGGGATCACATTTGAAATGTAAATAAAATATCCAATAATAATAAAAAGAAAATAGAATATGCCCCGGGTGTGGGAGCCCACACCTACAATCTCAGCTCTCAGGAGATGGAGGCAGGGACACCAGGAGTTCTGGGCCAGCTATGGCTACATAGTGAATTTAGGAGCAGTATGAACTGCATAAGACAATATATCAAGATTTTATAAATAAATGAGTGAGCCAAAATCATCAGTGGGGAAAATAGATCATCATATACAGTAACCGTCAATTAGTTTTTAGAAGTAAAGGCTTTTCAACTAAATGAGCTAAGGAAGAAAAATTCAGTGATAACAGATAGATCAGAGCAGAGCTACATATCCACATGTCTGTAACCTGCATATGCCAGAGACATATTCTCCAAAGAGGCTATTCAGTGTGCCCACCCCACACGCGTCATCTTACTGACTTTCTTAACAACCCATTAGGTAAAAAAGTTACATACCTAAGTAACTGATTTTCATTACTACCAACTCTCTCTCTCCCCCGTCTCTCTCATACGTGTGTGTGTGTGTGTGTGTGTGTCTGTCTGTCTGTCTGTCTGTCTGTCTGTCTATATCTCTGCCTCTCTGTCTCTCCCTCCCTCTCCTCCAAGCAGAAAAGGAGTAAGCCAAGAGAGTGATTTAAAGAAGAAAGGTCAAGTTTAGAATATTCCAAGTTCATTCAGATGAATTTGACTAGTGGTTTCCTAGTGGGCGCAGCAAATGTGTAAAGCTGCAATGGTGTTTTTTTCTTTTTTCTTTTTTTCTTCTTTTTTTAGAGATTTATTTATTAATTATGTATACAGAATTCTGCCTGCATGTATGCCTATAGGCCAGAAGAAAGCATTGGATCCCATTACAGGTGGTTGTGAGCCACCATGTGGTTGCTGGAAATTGAACTCAGGACCTTTGGAAGAGCAGACAGTGCTCTTAACCTCAGCCACCTCATCAGCCGCTGCAGTGGTGTGTTGGGAACAACATCTACTGTCCCTCCTGCCTCCCAATCTTATGGCACCCTCAGCTTCCATCTGGATGTCCAAAGTCTCAAAGCCAAACAAGCGTGCCTTCTGCTCCAAAAAGACTTCTTTCTTTCCGACATAATTTCTCTGGGTTTTCGCTTTCTTGGCTTCTAATCCCCTTAAAAGCATTTGGGTAGCCTAACTTCCACATCACCTAGGCATAACCTGAAGCATGTCCTCTTCTATTATGTTCTGCCCAATACAGATACCCTGCTCACCCACCCTGTACGTAAGCTCTGAGCTGTAAACACACAGATCCAGACCAGTTTCTGTTGTCCATCTTCTTCTCTCAGCTTTCTAGGATTCCTGCTTCTTTCAGGCTCAGTAAAGCACAAAGCCATTACTTCAAGTGAACGGAGAACAGCCAAGAAAACCGCATGCACTTGAAGCCATAATTCACAAGTCAATAAACAGGAGAGACTTTGCCTCCACTGTACTTAGGTAAGAGTCTAGACGGATGTCTAAGCACTCACATGTTATCATAGGAGATTTGGGCGTAGATAGTCCCCATCTATGTAAAAGCCTTCCCTTACAGACATTCCTTCTCAAAATATATTCACTGTGGCTGATTGGCCAAAGGGAGAGAAATAATCACTAGGAATGAGTTTTGTCAGTTACTTAGAGAAATTACGCTTAGCTACCAGACATAAGACCCCAGGCCTTTATAGTTCAACTTGCTCTTTCGTAACCAGACTTTTAAGATGTCTTTTTATGTAAAAAATTTTTATCATGCAACAGATTTTTACAAATATTTCTGAGAGAGGAGTCTCACCTCACAGTATTCTGTGATAATGCAGAAAGTATCCTGCTCCACGAAGCTCGCATGGAATCTGACAATGGCCGGATGGTTTAGCCTGGAGAGGAGCTGGGCTTCCACATTGGCCTGCATAGTTTCATTTGGATTTAATTCTCCAACAGAGATTTCCTTCAGTACCTTTCTGCAGCCAAAAAAGGAAAAAGCAAAGGAAGAAAAAGAAAAAGAAAGAAAGACATCAAGAGTTGAGAAGTATGTTTTACAACTGTGAGTGAGTGAGTGAGAGTGAGTGATAAGTGAGTGAGTGGTGAGTGAGTGAGTGAGTGGTGAGTGAGTGAGTGGTGAGTGAGTGGTGAGTGAGTGAGTGGTGAGTGAGTGAGTGATGAGTGAGTGAGTGAGTGATGAGTGAGTGAGTGAGTGAGTGATGAGTGAGTGAGAGAGTGGTGAGTGAGTGAT